GAAGTAAACAATAACAAATTCTGAATAAATAATCCAGAATGCCAGGCTGCGATTAGGAGAACGATCCAGCAAATCACAATGTCGGAAATGAGGAAGGATAGACGAAAGTAATCCGTCGTGCACCGTCTGGAGTGGACGTTATTTGTCAGGGAATTCGAAAAATGAAGAAAGAACTGACCGAAGAGGGCGACAGGAACAGGCAAGCCATAGGAAGATTACAAGATGTTCGGAGGGGGAAGATGAAATCAGAGACTGATTGATATAAGAATCAATGGTAGATAGAAGGGAAGGAGTGAATATACGACTAGCGGACATGAAATTGAAACAAGAACAGTTGACAGCTGGAGCAGGAACTGTAACACGTGAAGAACAGCTGAAAAGATTGTACCATCTGAAAATGGCGCTATGAAAGCGAGTGATTGACACTTATTTCTACACTTAGGCTGAAAAACAAGCCAACTAATTATGGAAAGAACTAAGAAGCCTTGGGAGTCGTAATGAATGGAACATTGGGATCAGAATATTAAATCGGGATAAAAACATTAACAGATTGCCATGGCGAAAAGAATCGAGAAGTATGAAGTGTGGCACTCAAGACAAGCAAACATAGCTTGAAATAATTAACAGCGATAAAGCAGTACTACTCCGAACTGTGCATACGATGAGTCTCAAAATGAAAGGAACTACTGTCGGTATAGCCAAAAACCAAATCTAAATAAATCTAAATATGTAAAGCGGTAGGTTGCGTATTCTGTTGTTGATACAATTTATTTCGCTAGCATAAGCGGAGGAAATAACGGTGCTAGAAGTGAGCAGAGACTGGTAAAAAAGCAAAAAAGGGAGTACACTCCTTTTTTTTCCATTTTTTCAATTTAATGACAATTCCTCCATTGAAGCGACAGACAGGGGATAAGTGTTGGAAGCAGAGGACACGAAATCATTAATTTTGGCCGTTGTGGTGCTGCTCAACAAGAAAATGGGAATTTAGTCTGTGCCCGAGTAGTGGATTGAGTGGATAGTATTGACGATGCCAGCAGCATATAGAGCCGGATCATGCACATCAACAGTTAAACTGCTGTTTTTATTTGTGTATGAAGTTGTGTTAAATGATTTGATTTGTCGAACAATTATGAGATAATCTTCAGGGTGGATCTAAATGAATAATAAAAGTGACCAATGAATGAAAGTGATGAGAAAAGCTTGTAGGAATATATGTGTCGTGAAGAAATATTACCTGATTTGGAAGAGACCGACAATGAAGTTTGTGTTGTCTGACACGGACGCACGATGGTTGATGAAGGTTTACTAATGACAGTAACAGTTTGTCAGTGAATACAAAGAATACAAAAACAGATATGGATGAGTTCCTTCTTGGTGGAAAGAGAGGGAGGGGGAATTTGTTGAACTGGAGATAACTGAAGGTAAATTGGAGCTGGGAATGAGGAGACCGTCAATTGTCGAGCTTGTCCAAAAAAAAACTAATTTTAAAAACTCCTTATATGTGGGTGTGACTTATAAAACTGATACATTACATGAAAAATCCTCAGAGAGAGGAATCCAATGTTTAACAGAAGTCTAGACACGTACCATTGGATATAAATAAGCACGATGGTTATCAGATTAAATGTTTCTGCAATATACCCATCAATGTGCATAAACTGGGTTATCAGACCAGCTGCTCACTAAAAACCAAAGATCACAAGTAGCTTGGTTACCAAAACAGCAATCCTTTACCAGTGTTACGAAAATTGCATAAATAATTTATTGCATAATACGCTGGAAATTTAATTTTAATTTTTGTTTAATGAATTACTTATGGGGAAAATGATCTAAATGTGACAATATTTATGGTAGAAATTTGTGATATATATATATATACTTCAATTGTTTTAACATGTTATAAATTTCCTCGGATTTTCCGACAAATTTCTGGCTGAAGAAAATTATGTTTCTAAGGGAAGAATTGGGGATTGTCGTTTAATCGCTCTTCTAAGCGCTACAGAATCTTCCAGTTTGTCGATCTCCTGATGATTCGACTGAATTTTTATGTCTACTTTATCATTAACTTCAAGAGGATGCGACATATTTACTGGTTTGTTGAGAAGCTCCCCGAAGGGTCTTCCATTTGAGCGCTTCTTACTTCACTGCCTTTATCCGTTTTAATGTTTGTAATTCTAGCTACCTTCCACACACTGCTAAGAATGGCCGGTTCATTACCTATTACAATTTTTCCCTTACGGGGATTTCTCTTCTTTACGTTCTTTTCTCTTTGGGTCGTTCTCTGGACTAATTAGATATTTATCTCTCCATATTTCCTAAAAGGTATCAAGCGTTTTAAGAACACTTACCCAGTACTTGAAAAGTTTATCTTTAGTATTTAATCTGTAAAGAATAAATCCCTCCTGCTCATTATCATTAACAGATTGAATATTCAAAGAGGCATTAGATAGAACGAAGTTAATAGGACGTATCATAATATAATCGTTAAAATTTGCATATGTTAGTAGTCGGGTGTCGAGCATATCTTCAACTTCCACTGTCAGGGTTGTCAATTCTCTTTTTCTTAATATTTCCTACCAATTGCCTCTTTCACCGAATTATTTGTTAATCCAATTAGTCTTCCATAAACTCTTCCACTCCGTGGAGCCTTTGGTATAATGTTTTCCAAGTCATTCCTTTTTTAGCTAGAAAATTAGTTATAATATTTCCTTCCATAATAGTTTTGAAAATCAATGAAATTGGCTAGCATTGTCACTTAAGAGTAACCACGTCGGGCGGTAAAGTTTCGGTAGATAAGTTCTCAGCCAACTCTAGATGCATCGCTCGAGTGGTAAAACATATAAATAAAGCTACGTACCTTTTCGTTAATCCTTTATCACCTTTGACAGATAGAGGATTAGGATAGTCCAAATCAACTTGTGCAAAGGGTCTAGAGCACTTGATTTGTGTTTCTGGAAGACTCAGCATAGGTGGTAACTTGGATGGTTCGGCATGCCATCGTTTGCAACTATTTGTGACTTATTTGATTTCGGATCTTCCGGCAGCCAGAATATGCTTCTCAACTGTGAGAGGGTATGACTGACTGGTTCTAGCGTGGTATAAGTCCTTATGTTGTTTTAGTACAAGAACCTCTGTTACCGTATTATGTCATGGAAGATAGATAGGGTGCTTGCTACTTCGTCCAATTCTGAATCCTTCAGTCGGCTTCTGGATCTCCATAATTTTTCATCCTTGTTATCATACAAATTCCATTTATAAATTCCTTCCTCAATTATCTCTTCTGATTGCGCTTGTCTGATTAACGACCATTCTATCAATTTGTAATCATTAGTTGAGAATTGATTTTTCTCTATCAAAAATGACTGTAACCATCATAATTTTTCTTTGGTTGTTAAACTTATGAATTTGAGAATCCAAGCGGTTGTTCTTAATAATCTTGACCATTTGCTGAAACGAGTACTATCTATAAATTGAAAATGATTTCTCCCGCTTGCGTAAACTTCGCGATGGTAACTTGTGGTTTTTCCTTGTTAATGAAATCATGTCCCCGTTGCGGCCAGTTGATTCTTTCTTCTTTCAGACATGGCGCCCATACCAGCATGACCTAAAGTATCTAAATTTTTTGGGAGTAAATCTTCCTGTAACCACATCTATTGGGTTATGTTCTGATGGGACATATCGAAACATGAATTTTGCTTTGCGTATTTTGTCGACTCGGTTTTGAATGAATCCTAGTAATAATACACGATAATTTGTTATCCATTGTAATGCGCATTTCGAGTCTGATCATAGAGTTACTTTTACTTTCATATTTTATAGGTTCATCTGGTCATTACAAATTGTGTCGCTCGTACTCCAATGAGTATCGCGAATGATTCTAATCGAAATATAGTAATCCCTTAGATAAGAGCAACGCGAGATTTGGCAAAGCCCAATAATGATTCCTTTTCATGCATCCCTTGACTTAACACATATACCGCTACTGAATACGCTAAACATGATGCATCAGTAAAAACATGAATTCCGATTGTATTCGAAAAGTTTGAGATGAATCACGGTAAATACTTCACGGCTATTGGTCATTCACTGATAAGGAATTTCCAGAGAAACCATATGTGTCTTCGTCGTTTATAATGTTATCCCATGAAATTATTCTTTTTCCAAAGGTTTTGAAAAAATAATTTGAATCTTATCATTCTGGAGAAACCGAACGGATCATGTTGTGAAGCAACGAATCGTAAGGCGGTCCTCTTCGTTCTTTTCTAACCCATGGTTTCAAAATTATTTGGATGATGTTTTGATTGGGATTCCATGTAAACCTAGGATTTTCCTTTGGCTCATTTTTGCTCGATCTTGTTCAGGTATTTTCGCTGGAAGCCTTTATCGTTAGAAAGAAATTCTCTTATGTTCATTGAAGCTTCATTGAAAATAAATTCCATCTTGACGTCGGCTGATATTATAACGTTGTCCACATGGAGATTTCTTCTTATCTCTAGAACTGTTTTACTATCCTAATTTTCCAAAAGGTGGCTGATAGTAAGAAAGGTGATGATATGACTCCAAAGAGGACTCTTTTAAAGCGATAACATTTTATGTTTTTTCCTACTTCAGCTCCTCTAATATCCTTCTGCCAAAGGAATCTAGTGCATTTCCTGTCTGAAGGATTTGTAAAAACGCTCTCTCAACATCCGCTATTATTACCTTTTTCATCATTCGGAAACGTAACAATACTGCTACAAGATCTGGAAGTGTGATAGTGTGATCGGTCCTCGATACAACACATCATTTAAACTTAGTTCCTTTTAGGTGCGCTGAAGCATCATACGCAATGCTTAATTTGGTTGTAGTCTTGCCAAGGTTTAAAATATCATGATGTGGCAGATAATGTATGATACCAACCTGATCCATCTGTGGTTGCACTTCTCCAATTATGTCGGGGCTCAACTGATCTTAAATTGTTTCGTCATATTCCTGACGTTATATGACGTTATATTGTCATCTTTCATGGAATTGAAGTCGTCCAATTAGGTTTCGCAGACAGCCGAAACACAATCCACAATTATTGCTCAATGTGATTCCTGATTCTTTCCATGGTCAACGTACTTCATATCTTCCACTGTGTTTGGTGAAGCTTTTTTAAAACTGTTCTAATGTTGTTCATCATGTTGAACACTGGATGTTCCTGAAGAATACCTACACATCCCAGTTTCCAGAATTAGTCTATATCTGGAACTCGATTTACTCTGGCGGTATTTGTCGCATTAGAAAATGGACAGCAGTATAGTCTGTTTGTGTACTCGCTTCCGGCTATTATAGGGCCTGCCATTGTATAAAGTAGGGTAAATCCAGAGGCTTAGTTGCTGAATTTTTCTTATTTGGATAAATTTGAAAAAATAATTAGCTCCTATAAGTATATCAGGTTGTCTGCAATGGTTTTCTCAGACTATTTAATAGATCTTTATTTTTCATAGATGAAATCTCGACCACCTGAAGTTCGCCTGTCAAGTGGTCCATTATCTTGGCCTCGCAAGTATTGTCTCCATCTTTTCAGTTCTTACTTCAGTTTGTGTTTTGGTTAGGAGATATCATCTCGCTTTCCTCACCCAAAGGAGGATATACTACTTTCTTCTTCTTTGATTTCTGTTAGATCTAATCGATCAGCTAATTCCCGAGATATAAAGGTTGACTGTGCGCCGACATCAAAAAGTGCTGAAACTCTTCCATGGAGTTCAGGTCTTACTGGACTGAATACGTTAATTTCCTTACATAAAAATAAGACTTCTTTATCCTTTAGTTCTGTTATTTTGTTAATGGCAATGTTTCCATTATTTGTTGTAACTTTCTTTCTTTCAGAGGAAGAATCTTTTTGTTGCTTGGCTTCTCGAACCTTAATGTCACATAGAGCACTATAGTGAGGTTTTTTTATAATAGAAACAATGTGCCATTTTTTTGCAATCGGCTTCAGTATACCCATTCTGCAACAGTTCCAGCAAACATTAATTTTTTTTAAATGATAAACTTGTTGTTTGAGTGTAGGATAAAAGCGACATTCGTTATCTCATTCGATCCTTGTTACAAAATATACAAGGTCTTCTCATTTTCCTGTC